CATCTTAAGCATATCTATCCTATATCTAAATCCTAAACTTATCTGAAAGAAATGCCCAAGTCTGAACATCTCCTTCAAATCCCAACTCTAAACAGGTGTAAACTATCCTGTAATGTCAACAGTAGGGAAAGGGGGCACAGTATTCTCAGAATTACTTCCTGCTGAAATGGGACGATGATAATCTCATGGGATCCTGTAGGAAGAAAATATTAGGGTAGTGAAAGTCTCGAGTAGACTAGCTACAACATTTGTACCCAGTCTCTGTTTGGCGGGAGATTCTTGATTGAAGTTCTTATCTTGATTGAAGTTCTTGTCTGAGGCTCTGACCAGAGTGTAATAAGAAGGTACACCATATCAGCTAATTATTCTGGAGTTGTCTGTAGAGATGTAATCCTAACCTGGTTTCAGCATGTTGTCAGTTCAGATGCATCAAGTCAGATGAGGAGAAATCAATGAAGTGGGTCCCCATTTTCTTTCCGGAGTGTTTGAAGATTGCTATTAGGAAATTCTTTGTTCTCTGTGGAAAACTCAAACATCAATGTCAACAAAGAAATTTCAACTTTATATTTGGGCATACTAGGAAAGGCAACAATAAGAAAGATAGTAAACATGAGGGAAATTAGACTTTCAGAGAAAGAACTGAGTATAGACAAATGGCAGTCCCTAGATTTTTGTTTTATTTGTCTTACATCAATTGGCTTCTTAATATAATACAGAAACTCTGAATTTCATTTTAACAATATGCTTGGATTTAGAGGAGTAGAGTCATATTCAGCTCCAAAGCCAGCACTGGTTTAAGTGAATTGGGACCAACAGAGTATTAGGAAGTAAAGAGAAATAGAATTTATAAGGATATAAGTTGAGAGAATTAGACATTGATACCAAATCTCAGATTCTTCTTTCTTTGATGGTTCTTTTGGCTAGCCATCTTCTCTTCTTTAGGTATCTACATGGTGTCTGCTTGCCTTTTGAAGATGGGTTTTCCTGTTAAGACAAGAACAAAACACTTCCCTTTCCTTTGTGAGGTCTCTATACACCTGGTGGAATATGAATTTGTGGATGAGCTGTCATCTTTCCTCCTCCCAAGGTTTCTCCTGTTCAGATCAAATCTTGATCAATTTTGATGGAATCCAAAGCTTTTCTTCTGTGGAAACAAAAGTGAAACCCCTCCCCCAACATAACACATATCCTGGCTTCCAAACTAAGGTGTTTACATCCTTAAAATACACCAGCTGATTTAGTTCAGAAGCTTTTTCTGTAGTCCAGTGTCTTTCTGCAGCTGTTTGTCCTTTCTCATTAGCATTAAGAAAGTTTAGTGTTAATAAAGCATTATGTAATCTGTGTTAGGGGACTCTTTGTTCCTCCTGGCTATTTATGGAGCATTTCTTTTAGAGAGTGGTTAGATCTCTCAATCACTGCTTGTCCTGTGGGATTGTATGGTATACCATTTATATGCTTTGTACTATCATATTTGAAAAACTGTTCCAATTTGCTGGAGACATATGCTGGAGCATTGTCAGTTTTTATTTGTGCAGGTATACCTATAACAGCCATCACCTCTAAGAGGTGTGTGAAAACAGAATTAGCCTTTTCAGAGCTAAGAGCAGTAGCCCATTGGAACCCTGAAAATGTGTCTATTATATGGTACACATATTTTAAACTTCCAAATTCTGGAAAGTGAAACATATCCATTTGCCAAATTTCATTTGTATAAATATATTTGGGATTACTGCCTGTTGGTAATGGAGTTTGATTATAGAATGATCAGTTGGGAAGTTTCTTATTATTTCCTTGGCTTTTTGCCAAGTGATAGAAAAACCCTTCTTTAAGCCTTTGCTATTAATATGGTGTTTTTATGAAATTTTGAAGCTTCTAGCACACTTCCTATTAATAAACAATCAATCTCATCATTACCTTATGCTAGAGGGCCTGGCAGACCTGAATGGGATCCAATGTGTGTTATATACATATAGGATGAGTTCTATTTCTGATAGATTCCTGTAATTGTATAAACAATGAGGTTAATTCCGTATCACCAGGAATAAATTTAGCAGTCTCAATGAGTAAAACGACTCTCTTTGCATATTGAGAGTCAGTAACTATATTAAGAAGCTCTGTGAAATCCATAAGAAGCATGAGAATGGTGTACAACTCTGCCTTTTGTACAGAGTTGTAAGGGCTTTGAACTACTTTACTTATATTTCCTGATTTATTACCTGCTTTTCCTGACTTGTTAGCATCAGTGTAGAATGTAGGGACTCCAGAGATTGGTGTTTTTCTTACAATATGTGGAAGGATCAAAATTGCTTTCTTGATGAATTTGATTCTCTGTTTTGGGATAATTGTTACTAATTGTTCCCAAAAAGTTACTGCAAGCCCTTTGCCAATATTCATTATCCTTCCATAAGGAGGAAATTTCTTCATTGGTTAAAGGTACAATAATTTCTGTCTGTTCCCTTCCAGTTAGTTGACGAAGCCTTAATTTGCCTTTTAATATCAAATCAGAGATCTTTTCTATATATTTCTTCAATTTTTTATTCTGTTTATGTGGCAGAAATATCCATTCTAATATGATATCTTCCCTCTGCATCAAAATTCCTGAGGGGTATTCTCTACAATGTAAAATAACCAGAACACAGTCTAGTTTTGGATCTATGCGGTCCACATGTACTTCTAGTATTCTCTTTTCTACCCAATCTAATACTTTTTCAGCCTCGGCTGGTAATATTCATGGACTATTTAAGTCCTTATCTCCTTTTAGGGACATCTGTAGGTGCTTTAAATCATGACCTTCTACTCCAATAATTGTCTGTAGCTGAGAAATCTCTCCTGGTAGTTTTTGAAGGTCATTGAGAGTCTGGTAATGATCTCTCCTGATCTGTACTTTTTGTGGTCTAATTTTTTGTAGATCTATTTCATAACCTAAATAATTAATAGACTCAACTCTTTGAATTTTTTCAGGGGCAATCTGTAATCCCCCAACAATGTAAAATTTCCTTTACTGCCTCAAACATCTTTTCCAACATTCCTACTTTTGAATCAGCCAATAGTATATCATCCATATATTGGTAAATTATGGACTGAGGAAATTGTTTGTGAGTTATTTTCAAAGGTTTTTGCACAAAATCCTGGCACAGAGTAGGACTATTTAACATTCCCTGTGGCAAAACCTTCCATTGAAATCACCTAACTTGTTGAGAATTGTTATAAGTAGGTACTGTGAAGGCAAATTTTTCCCTATCTTTTTCTTGTAAAGGTATAATGAAGAAGCAATCTTTTAGATCAGTAACTATAACAGGCCATCCTTTAGGTATCAGAGAAGGCAATGGCATCCCAGGCTGTAGAGAGCCCATAGTCTGAATTACTGTATGGATGGCTCTCAGATCAGTATGCATCCTCCATTTACCAGATCTATTTTTGAAAAGAAATACTGGGGAATTAACTGGACTGGTAGACTCTTCAATATGTCCAGCATTTAGCTGTTCCCGAACCAGCTTTTCTAAAGCCTCTAGATTCTCAGAGGTCATTACCCTACCCAAAGAGGTTCATCTGCTAGCCATTTTAAGGGTAGGGCATTTGGTTCTTCTGTAGGTTTAGCACTCATATCCTGTTTCTGTACAGCCTGTATGGTTGGCATCTGTTTTCTGTAGTGCTTTACAATATTTTTTCTACTGCCAAGAGCTTGTTTATGATTCATATCTAATACTGGAGGAATGTTAGTCTAGGTAATCCTTTGTTGCAATAGATCACAACCCCAGAGATTAATAGAGATGTTTGCAACATATGGCCTAAGTCTTCCTCTTTGTCATTCTGGACCTATACACTCAACCCATCTCTTTCTTTGTTTTACTTGAGAAAGGGTTCCAATCCCTGAGAACCGAATATTTGCCTCTTGTAGGGGCTATCTTGAAGATCAGGGTTTTTGAGTTATGATGGTGACATCATCTCCAGTGTCTACAATACCAACAATCATCTTATTATTTACCCTAACTGCTAATTTGCATTTGTGTTCCTGTATAGAAGTTTGCCAAAATATATACTTTTTGTTTCTTCCAGTTATGATTGGTTCATCCTCAGTAGCTAATCTATCATGCAGAGTGGTATTATTATTTACAATAGGCAGTTGATCTTCTAATTGTCCTGGGAGAGATTGTCCTCCACAGTGACTAGGAATAACCAGACTACTTTTGATATGGGAGGCTTCGAGAGGCACCCCAAGAAGTTTCCTGATTTTAAAGGGTTACCTTGTCTCACTGTGGTCAACCTCTCTGTGTTGGCCATTTGTTTAAGTCATTCCTAGGAGAAGCCTTATTTCTAGGAATGTTTTGCCTACAATTCCTTCTTAGATGGCCTATTCTGCAACGGTTAAAACATCTGGTATTTCGATGTCTTTTTAAACCTCTAGAGATTACCTCTCCTACCCAAGTTTCTATATCCTCGTGGTTAAGGCACTTGGCATCTTGTTGCCTCAGCAAACCTTTAGCAATTGCCTCTCCTACCTAAGTTTCTGTATGTTGATCTTTATATTCAAGGTTTTCTGTATACAGGACCCATTCCTCCAATGGTGCTGATGTGATTTTTAATGGCCAAAGTACCTGTTTGCATTGTGGATTTGCATTTTCATAAGCTAGAGATTCTATAAGTATTCGCCTAGAATCTGAATCAGTTACCTGTAATTCTACTGCTGTGGACAATCTTTCCAAAAATTCAGTGAACCTTTCTCTTGGACCCTGTACCACCTTGGTATAGGGTTTTATTGTCTCTCCTGATTCATGAACCTTATCCAAAGCATTCAGAGAGGCTATATGGTATAAAGACAAGATGTGTTCATGATACACAGCCTAAGCCTGTGGCTTAGCATAAGGACCCTCACCAAGAATCTTAGCTTAGGGAGCTTTATAACCTTTCTTTAAGCCTTAAAGCTCAAAGGCTTTTGCTTCTTCTCTCCATAAAACTCTCCATTGTATTTGGGATGAATTTTCTAGCACCAGTGAGGCCAATTGGCTCCAATCCTTAGCAGTCACTTTATTTACAGTTGCCCATGAGGTCAGGAGCTCCCTGACATAGAGTGAATGAAGACAATGGCTTCTTTGATTCCCTTTAGGTCCTTCATCTGTATTGGTTCCCAATGATGTCTTTTCCTTGCTGGTTTTTCAGTCATAGATACTGGAAAGACAATAGGAGAGGGCATAACAACTTTAGGAAGGTCTTCTCAGCGTCTGAGAGGCATAGGTAAACCTCTTTCATGACCTGTTGCCATTATCTCTGATTCTGATGTATCAGATTGGAGTTCGTCTAAGACCTGGAACCTATTCACCATTTGTTCTCTGAGTGCTTAAACTTTTGTGTTAAAAAAAATTCTAAGGACTTCATAGAATTGGTCAGTTTCTTGGATTCATCATATACACCTGATTACAAACATTTAATATTCTCATCCTTAGATATCATCTGAATGGGATGTAAGTTACCCTCTAGGAACAGTGTTCTATCTGAGAGCCAGTCATTATCCTCAGACATGGAATGAATTTTTCTGTAAGTTTTCCAATCTGAAGTTTCAGTCTTTGAGTTTTATTAATTGAGTCATCAGACATGGAACAAGTTGTTTCTAATGGCCTGGTAATGTCATCCTTAATTGATCCTATTTTGGTGGCTATTTTTAAGTTTTAAGTTATCTACCTTATTAAACATTTCCCCATTGTCCTCAAGATTTTGAATTCTTGTCTCTAATTTACCAATAGTTTGCACAACTGTCCTGTGTTCCACCCTATTATCAAGCCTTCTCTTCCAGGATATTATATGGATTATGAAGCTAATTGTTAGCATTAGGTATAGATGTATCATGTGCAGGTCAGGTCATAATCCTCTCCCAGGATGTCATCCATATAAGAAGCAATGAGATCCCTAACGTTCTGCATCATAAGATTATGTGCCATTGGTATAGAGTAGTTAATCTTATTACCATCTTAAACTACCAGAATACAAAGCTTACCTTCAGCGATTTTGGGCTGAGGTGTGGATTTTTTTTTACTTGCAGTAACTGTGTTTGGCCAGTAGGGGTGCAGGTTTGGACTCTGCATTTTCTCAGTAGGATCTGAAAAATTCTAAGTAGCTTTTACAGATATTTAGCAATCAGGATGTTGTTAAAAGGAGGGGAAAGAGGCCCACGCAGATTGTAGGGGCCTGCGGGGAGAAAGGGGTCAAGTTCGGCAGGCCACAGGTAAAGGCAAACGTGGCTGCATGAGAATTCTCGGATAGGGATGCTGCAGCAGACCTTATCCCCTCAGGACCTTATGGGTTCCTGGAGGAGTGGTTGCAGCTATTGGGCCAGCTGTTCTGGGGAGGCAGAGGGGGGCTGCAATATGTGTGGCTGCTCAGAGGCACTAGTTCCGCAAGCTATATGTAGACTGAAGGACATGGCAGGAGTGCTGATTTCTGGGCAGACGGAAGCAGCCAGAGTCGGAAGACAACCCGGGCACTCAGAGAAGGACCAATTGTTAGGTCCATGGATTACATACAAACCCCACCTGCCTGGCATCAAAACTCACAGTACACTGCAGCCCAAAGGACCTGACCCCCTCCTTTATGGCAGTCCTCACCTTCTCCACCGCAGCCAGGAAGGCATCTGTCAGACCTCGGGGTGGCTGTGCAGGATTCCAGGTTGTCTTGTGCTCAATCAACATCTTATCTGCTTGGGGAAGGCTTGGCCAGGCATCCCAGGGATGCCGGGGAGCATTGGGACTGTGTTCAGCACCTGTGAAAGAAACAGAGTATGTCTAGTTGGTTTTATTCCTAATTAAAAATTAATTTGTGTGGGGGGGGGAGTCCGGGTGTCTGTGTGTGCATGCCTGCATGTGCACTCATCCGTGCACAGTAGCTCTTGTTTGGAGGTTAGTGAACAATTTGTAGAGTAAAATCTATCTCCTACATGGGTCCCAGGCATCTAGCTCGGTCTCCAGTCTTCCTTGGTGACCTCATTTACACACTGACCGTGTATCTCTCTTTCCCCTGGATGCTGTAACTGCTCAGTGTTCACATGGACCAGTCTTAGATCCCAGCATCTTCCACAAAGGACTCAGAGACAGTTTGTCCCCTCCCATTATCTGCTTCTTCCTCAGTTCCAGCCTGTAGGCTGTCTTGTCCCCCAGGGTAAACAAAATTAATATTCTATCCTGCAAATCTACCAGGCTTGTGTGGTTTCCCTGTAGATAGGGGACAGAGGCTCACCCCACTTCTAGAGCCCCTGACCTTAGTTCACTCCTCCCCTCCTGTTTTCTGAGGTTTGCAAATTTCCAGGCCTTTCCTCCTGCATTTGACTCTCACACAAGGCCCTCACCCTATTCACCCTGAATGCACTTTCATCTGAGAGCCTTTACAGCACAGAAATGACCATGTACACTGCCCTGAGACTCATACCTCAGCAATGAAGCCAGTGTCCTCTCCAGCTTGTTGAAGAAAGGGTCTTCATAGTTGAAGCGATGGGCATAAATGAGGGATGAAATCACATTGCATACACTTTTATTCAGGAGGGTGGTGGGATTAAAGGGACGTCCTAGGAGCAGAGAGGCAAGCAAGTCATGATATTGCTCAAGAGCGCCTGCCCACATCTCCATCTGATACCCGTCACCCACCAGCCTCCTGGGTGAAGGCGTTACAGAGGTGGCCAGCCTCCTCTGTCACCCACTGCTCCAGTGACTTCTTGCCCACGCCGAAGTCTCGCATGGTAGACACACAGAATCGACGCTGCTCTCTCCATTAGGGTCCATCACGTGCAAATGCCACACCTGCAGGGACATATGTTTACAACCAAGGATACCTGGCTGTCCGTCTCCTCTGCTCCCAGCATTTCCCTGGGGTCAGTCTTAGCCATCAGCGCCCAGCACTTAGTGACCACATATCAGCACATGCCATCGTGGAGGCTCCACCCTCCATTTCAGTGACTGTCCCTTCCACTGCCTGACCACACCCCTCCATCAGGCCCTGTCTATCTTCTGTCCACTGCTCCTCAAGCCCTATTCTTCCTGCCTTGTACCCACTACAGCTCCTTGCCTTGAGATTTGTGCCCGTAGCCCAGGTGATTAAAGATGGGCACTGGAGGGCGGTCAGCGGTGTCCTCTCCACAGTTCACCAGCACTTCCCGCACTGCCTTCAGTCCATTGATCACCACCACAGGCTTCCAGGCATCTGCAGGCTGAACACATCGCCATAGCGCTGTCGGAACTGGAGTAGAGGGACAGAGCACTTAGGAAGTGGAGGCTGCCTGCAGAATGAAAGGTCCAACCTCAATATGAGTGTGTGTGTGTGTGTGTGTGTGTGTGTGTGTGTGTGTACAAACATATGTTCATTTGTATGATACTCATTATTGAACCTTGGTCCTGCCTTATGCTTGACAAATACTCTATCGCTGACTTACATCTGTAACTGAGGAATGGCACCTTGTGACTGTCGATCCCACCCTCTAAATTCAGCAAAGGTCTCATAGTAGATATGGTCATTCAGCAGAGAACCTGGCAGAACGAAGTCCTTACCCCTTCATTCCCCTCCATACAAGAGAAAATTCAGGATCCTGAAATGGGTAGCAGGGCCTGAGACCACATAGCAGCAAGATTGTAGAGCACAGCCCCTCTCCCAGTGTTGTTTTCCTGATTGACAGGCTACACTGTAACCCAATGCCATGCCACCACCACAACTCTGTTCCTAAGACCTCCTCCATTGATGGGATCTCAAGGAACCTGAGGTGGCCTCCCTGACTATACCCTGTAGTCCAACCAGACACCTCACCTGTCTCTGTGACTTTTTCCATACTGTGCTTCTTCCCTTAGTAAGTCCACAGTGTCCTCAGACACAGAAGTGACTGCCATGAGGAAACCATTGACCTTCTATCTTCTGATTTGAGCACCACCATGAGCTGCTATGGGCACCAGGACCTCCCCTGACCTCCACCACCATCTCTCTCACCTTGTAAAAACTATGTGGCATGTTCTCGAAGTCCACCTGCAGCAGGTTGCCCAGCCCAGGTAGTGGCATAGGACCTGGAGGGTAGTGGGCCCTCCAGAACTTGCGTCGGTGTATCAGGTCCGCCAGAAGCAGGAAGATGGCTGTGAATATGACCCCAGACCACAGGCCATCTTCTCCAATCAGCAGTGCCATGGCTGCCCCACTGCTCTCCAGACTGTTTGTGGGACACCAGCTCCAGACACCCAGGATCATAAAGACTCTGAGGACACACTCGTCCCCTGGTCCCTTATGAAAGGGAGAAGGCTGCACTTTGTTCTCGGCCTTGAGCCAAGAAGCTGTGTTTACTGTTCAGTCAGGGTTTGTAAGGAGAGGTGTGAAAAGGACAGGGAAAGTCAGCCTCATAGGTTCCCACACTTTCTTTTCTCTTCGGGCGCTCATTCATGGGAGATGCTCTGTTTCTCCCCAGGGAGCAGTACATAATGGTTACATAGGGTTGGGCCCATGAACACAGTGGGCAGATGATCAGTGGACCCTGCCTCAGGTACAGCAGAGTCAGACACAGAGCTCTGAGGGGCCTGAGGATAGTGTCTTGGAATTGATCTAAACCTGTTGAAGCTCCATTGAACCCTTGGCTAGCAGGATATGAGGTGTTACTGGTTTCACAGACACTAACACTGTGCATCAAGGGCCACTGAAGTGGCCTGTGTGTCTGGCCAATGATGGTGAGTGAGAGGCAGTGTGGGGAAGGCAGCTACAGCCTGGGGAGCCATGAGTGCAGGTGTGCAGTCACTCAACTCATGAGGAAGGCCATCCTCCCAGTCTGGGCCTCTTAGCTGTGATCTGAAAAAGCAAAACAACTGTCTACAAGTATAAAGAGAATCCTGGGCAGGCCAGCAGGATGCCCAGGTGCTTGTCCCAGGGAGGCCACTGTGTCTGATTTTATTCTCCCTTTGCTTCTTGGTGGGTGGAGCCCTGTGTCTACAGCTCTCAAAGTAGGGATGGAAAGGATGTCTTTCTAATGCTACACAGGCAGGATTTTGAGGGACTCATGAACATTGCCACAGTCTGTGGGAAGACTACCCTGTAGACTCAAGGAGCACTTAGTTGGCAGGACACAGGACCTCACAGGCACTGCAGGATACACCAGCTGGCTGCAACAGTAAGTGCCACTGATTGCTTTTGTGGTGTGAGGGACAGTGGGAGGAAGGTGGCTGCAGCCTGTGGAGTCTTGTGGACAGGTGTGAGGTAGGGGAATTGATATGGAAGGCCAGACTTAGAGCCTGTGCACATCGTCCAAGAGATCTGAGAAAGCTGGGAAAGTGTTAACAGCTGTCAGAGAGTGGAGGCCATGAGGTTAGGTCAGGGACTGTCACATGGTGGTCTCAGTCTTTGATTCATCACTTGTTTCTTTGTGGGTCAATCTCTCCTGCAACAATCTTCCACATGGAGGTATGTAAGCAGTGTCCTCTTCATTCCAGAGGCCTGTGGTTAGGATGGGTATCCACGAGGAAAATGGAAAGATTACTCCTGAGCCTTTCAACAAAGGGCACTATTATGGTGGGCACTGCTGGTCAGACTGTACATGCCAACTCAGCACTCTCTAGGGTCAGCAAAGGTACAGTCCCAGTCCTTGTTTGGGATCCAGACCTCTGAAGAGCAAATGTCAGAAGTCCCAGTGGAACCCAGGCTGGGACTCCCTGCAGCACTCTCCAATGATGTGGTAGAATGGAGGCAGCAGCTGAGCTAGAGATGAGCTGAGTGCATAGCATGCAGCACCTCAGCAAGGACTAGACACTGGGTCTCCTCTCAGCTGCCCTGCCACCCCCATCTCTACCCACATCTATGTCACCAGAGCCTAGAGGGATTCCATGCTTATAGCTGGCTTGAAGTCCTCAAGTCTGCTCCCTGTTCCTGTTCATGGCTCTTGGCACTGTCCAACCCATTTGCATAGGATGGCACCCTATGCTGGGGCACAGACAACTCCAACTTGGCCTGGATGCAGGCCTAAATGGGAGTCAGGACACCAGCCTGCATCACAGTCAGGAGTGGGGGGAAAGAGACAACTGTGCTCTGGTCACTGATGGGCTCAGGCTGGTGGCTGTCTCCTGATTTATCCCAGGACCCTCCCATGGTAACTTCCGAGGCCATGTTAATCCTGGATTTCAGGTGTCACACTTTCGGCCTCTCTTCCGGTCTCCACTTCTCTTCTGTGTGTCATGTATGACATCATGAAAGAGAAGCAACAGTGCTGACTGGGTGCTGGCCCCAGTGTGGGATGGGCAAACCCAGGCCTGGTTTATCTGCTTCAGGCTAAGTGAGGCCCTGAGAGGCAAGTGCACCGAGCAGGTGAGGGATGTCACTCACTGTGTGTGGTGAAGGGTTCCCGCTCTGTCACCAGCTCTTAGGAGATGACCTGGACGCTCTGGGAAACATCTGCCTAGCACTGTTTGCTTCCCTTCATCCTCAGTCCATGCCTCCTCAGCCGTGTGAACAATTGTGCCCTGTCAGGATCAGTGTGACTTCCAGGGGACTGGGGTCTTGGTATTCATGTCAGCTGCACAGGGGTGCCATGTCTGTAACAGCAAACTGGAACAGAGCCCCTGGTCATCAGGGGCCAGTTGTCGTCCTAGATTTGCAGTTCTCTGTACACATGTCAACAGATAATCACTGTCCTTTGGACTCTGCTGAAAGAGGACACATCTGCCTTCACTTTACTGAAGACCAACAGTGAGTCTAGAGAGATTCCTAGGTCTGTGCCTTCTTTCCCTAGCCATGGTGGGATGAGCATCTTAAAGCTTGTTAAGAGTAATGTGACTCACTGGGGTGACAGTGACTCTGAGAGTGCTGCTTTGGGAAAGTTTATTTGTGCAAAGGAAGGCCTGGCATTGTTTGGTGTTGGTGAGTCTCTCATTCCTGGATGGTTACTTCACCCGTCATGGTATGATAGGATGTTACCCATGGAGTCACAAACCACAGAACCTATGCTTGACATATATAAAATACTGAAAATCAACCTCATATATAATTCCTGGATGATGTATGATGTTGTTTATTCCCAAAATGAAAACAAAGGAGACTGTTGACCTAGATCATGACACTAAACCAACCACAATTTCAACTTCCCAATTTGTAGAGGTAGTTATCAGTGGGGTGAAACTGTTCTGGAACCGAGATACATCCATGACTTCTGGTCACAAAGACCAATGGGGTGGGGTATAGAGCAAAGCCCAGCCACCACTGAATCAGGTTCCCTAATGGTGTTGTTTCCTATGTGGGTGTGGCAGGGTCATCAGTCTCATGAAAACATGAACTCAAATGGAATAGGCTGTTGGTTCTGAGTGTGGTAGAAGAGTGGGCATGTATGAGTCTGTGAGACACAAGATCACAGCTCACTCACGTGAGACTGCATCCCAGATAGGAAGAAGGACCATAATCCTACATCATAGATTACTTAATTGTGCCTGTAGGAAACAGGGAAGGTTTCATAATACCATGCTTAGAACATCAAACAAATTCAGCAAAGATACAAAAATCAATCAACACAAGAAAACCACTTTTGTTCTTAATCTAACAATGAATCACCTGAGAATCAAATGACAAACAGTATTATGTATAAAATAGCAACAAAAGAGTAAGTATTTTAGGGCAGGGCAGTGGCTCTCACAGCATGATGTATAAGCTTGAGGACATGCATTCATTCCCAAACAGTTGGACTTGCCACCACTTGTGCAATCCCAGTGCTAGGGAAGCAGGGAAGGGAGGGTGCTCAGTTGCTGGCCAGCCAGACTAGTTCAATGAGTAGGCTCCAAATCAGGGAAACAC